AGCTGTAATTTCAAGCTTTTCCTGATTATCCAGTGTCTGTTTGTCTATCAGTCCTTCTGTAAAGATCTGATACATTTCCAACTTCTTCCGCAGGAAAAACTGGCCCAATTTTAGACAAACTTGGCACAGAACTTTCGGAGGTATATGGGAATCAATGTTTCAAAAGACCAAATTCAAAAAGAGGTAACAGAGAAAGGTAAAAGTAAGATGACATCATTTTAAAATCTTTACAAGGACAACATTGCTCGTAAAAAATAAAATCTTGTGATAGATTTCTGGCATAGTGAAGATTGCAAGTCCTAACCCTTAAGGATCAGATGGGGATACAATTGGATTTCAGATTTTACTGCAGACTATATAGGATCAAATATTCAAAAATCTGAAGACACGACCAGAGAGGATGAAACTGGTGTGAAAGCTTTAAATTCTAAATTCTTCAAATTAGGACCTTTATGGATATGGTAGGGCCACAATAGGGGATCAACGTTTTTATCAAGATTTTACAATGTAATATGTTGAGAAAAATAAATCTTCAAAAATCATTTCAAGACCCACTGGTCTTGACAAGAGGAATTGATGTGAAAGTTTCCTAACAAAGTGTAAATTCTAAATTGATAAAATTATGGCCCTCAAGTGTAGGATGGGGCTACAACAGGAAATTACTGATATCATTTTGTATGTGAATATACGTGAAAATTTCAAGAACCAAGCTAGGTAAGGATCAATCAGTTACAGATCAAGAGATCAACATAATTGATACATATATTTCTAAAAGAAATTAAACTTTGTGATAAGCTGATTTTTTTAGAAAGCAGAATTAATTATTTTTCCTCTTTCTTTTCAGACGAAGTTTGTAAGGGGATGTATTTGGGAATTGTCTTGTCTATTTGTCTGTCTTATCAGAGCTATAAGTTTGCATTGGAAGCTCATAATTGATGAAGTTTGCTTATGATTTCAGGGTAAGTCATGACCTTGACTAACATAATTTAAGCAAAATCGAGATCACTGGCAGTGAAAAATGAGAATATTATGAACTAAGGATTATGAACTATTCTTACTTCTCTAATAAGAATAGCAGTACTTGATCTTTAACACGAAGAAAATACATGAGTTGAAAATGTTTTTTACCCTTAATCTAAAGTAATTTGGCCAAGTTAAAGGTCACTTTTAGAAGAATAAAAAATTGAAATTACTGTCCTAACTACGAAAGCCCAGAAGGCTCATTCGAGATTCGAGTTTCAAAATACGAGATTCGAAATTCGAGATTCGAGATTCAAGATCCAAAATAACCAATCAAAAGGCGGATTCAATATTTGATTACTCCCCTTTATTAAGTTTTTACTATCAAGAAATCGCTGAATATATTGATAACAAATGGGTCATTTGCATAATTAATAATGCAAGAAAAAATGTTATATGTATCAAAACAAAATACAAATGAATTTTGGGTAACGTTTTGTAAAATATGTATAAAATCTTATTTTCCTCATTAAACAAAACAGTAGATACATATATAGAATATTATATGGTCTTATCGTTGACTTGCAAAATTAGTTTGCATGTCGATAAATTATTTAATATGCACATTGATGAGGGAGGAACATATTATTGATATGAATTGCTGAGGATCGTCTTTACACTGCACAGAAATTTAATTAAGGATACATTTCATTACATGTAAGGGTGAATTTGTGCAGTTAGACTGATCAACTATTTGATATGGAATAAAATAAATTCCAGTCTGTATTGTTTATATGATTTTTTTTTAATTAATTCAAGTATTCAAAGCCTTAATTGAAAACTCAGTTTTTTTGTATTTCTCATATTGGGAAACAGTGGCGTATATTCCCTTCGGCTAATGTGTAAACTAATGTGAGGTCACCTATTTCACTTAAAGCGCATTATTGCCGAATTGCGGATAGGCAAGGAGGGAGTCGCCCCCTCTCAATAGAAGGGGGGGGGGTTCGGAGGCTCACTTTCTGCGATCTTGGAGACATCTATCATTGTCATTTTTCCAGTGAATATAATTAGAAATCATTTAAACATATTTTTATGATACAGAAAAAATCTTCATGACAACCTTGTAATAAAATTGAGAAATTTTAAAATCCTTACACAGTGCATGGAAATTATGGAAACTTCTTTACTGAATAATCTAAATATAATTTTTAAAATGTTTTATGTTTGACTCCCTACTAACCCAAACATATTAGTAGTCCCCTGTTGATGTCATTTTTAATAGTCTGATATCGACTTCAGGGTAACATTTCAATTTTAGATTTAACCAGCTATAAAAATCAGAAGTTTTGTATACTGTAAAAATTGGATAGGCATAAAAGAGTGGATTGCTAAAAATACTTTTATTGCATTTGATGAAAATATATTCTAGTAACTGGTAAATGAATAAGATTTATGGTCAACTTTCCCCCATTTTTCAATCAAATACATGTATAAATATTTTTTTTTATTTTTGCATCAAGAAAATGAAGTGTAGGCTACAGCCTTTTTGCCTATATGGAATATACACCATTGGGAAAGCGAACGCGATTTTTCTTTATCACTACTACGATGTCTTTCAAGATTTTCTGTGTACACTAAAAAGGCATACATGAACTAAGTAATTTTAATACATGTAGGTACTCATTAAGGCTATACGATTTTTTCAAAGTCCTTAAGGTGTATAGAGGGTGCATTTTTTTGTTAAAATAATTAATTTTTTATCATTATTAAATACTTTCATATCTTTTTTTCTCTATGGCCATTACATCATGTATTGAAACTTGTGTATTGATTGGTTATGTATCTTGCGAGACCCGAGCGGTTTCCTTATCAATTATTATCGAATATATAATTATTTTGCCCATGCATAGCAAGATTGACACTGAATGTTGATAACCGAACATTTGTCTACCGTTGTAATAAAATAAACAACATAGCCATAGGACCCTGGGCACGTGCCCCCCCCCCCCCCCCATTCCTCTTATATTTCTTACCGATATAATTTACTATAGAAAACATAGCAACTTTGTCCTTATGTCCTTTCAAAAATAACATCTAATACCCGTGATAACCCCTTGTTTTTTTTTGGGGGGGGGGAGCTTTACAGTGATTTTTTTTTTTAATTTTATTATTTCCTACGGGCCTGAACAAAGAGAAATCATAATTTTTTTAAGCATGTATATTTCAGCCATCCGTACATGTACTGATGGGGCTGTCTTTTGGTTTCACAAACTTGGTCACTGGTCACTTTCTTACACCTTGTCACAAACTATATCCACTTTGAAACCCGTATTACTAATTATTATTAATCGCTAGTCTCTTGTTTTATTTCACACTTGAAACCCGTATTAGTCACTGGTCACCTTCTAATACCTTGTTACAAACTATATCCTCTTTGAAACCCGTAGTTCTATTTATCATTAATCGGTAGTCACTTGTTTAATTGCACACTAATAATTCTCATCGACTACAATACGCCCCTTCCCCCTACTTTTGCTCTTTGAATCCGATTAACAATATTTATTATTATATGACATCGAACATGTAAACAAAGTAGATAATACGATATAGATATTCTTGATATAAATCTATTATAATATTTAAGAAGTTATAATATAAATTTAAGCATATTTTGCAGACCAAAAACCCAATATTTTTTCTAATTTCGTTCTGATATATATAGCACTCTTTCTTGCATTGTAATATAATCAAATGACCTCTTCGGTTTGAATATATTCAATGATTTCTTGAAGGTCGAAACTTAGCAGAGGGGAGTAATTGAATCTCAAACCGTCTTTTGATTGGTTAGCTTGGATCTTGAATCTCGAAACTCGAATTTCGAATCTCGTATTCCGAAACTCGAATCTCGAATGAGCCTTCTGGGCTTTCGTACCTAACCAAGTGTTGTAATAGAACAAATTAGCAAGCTCATTCATGACATAAAGATTTCTTAAGAGGGAGTTTTTTTTAGGACTTTGACTCAAGGTCATTTGGACAAGTTCAAGGTCACTTGCAGAAAAGTCTGCTCCAATATTAAAAAGAAAACATTGGGTGCAGCAGTTTAAAAAAATACAGCGAGTGTATTTTTTTGGTTCACCCACAATACATGTACTTATTCAAATTTGCCATGTTGAGAATAATCTAAGGGGAGACAATTGAGGATTATGAAAAGTCAAGGTCTAAAGATCAAGGTTATTAATTCATGTAATAGTTTTCTAGGTTTAAGATACAAAATTTAGGGACCTAAACCTTCATTCATATTTTGTGATGTACGGTATTTAAAACCAATAGGAATCAACTTTGGGTTTATCTCTGGAAAATAATCATGTTTCATAAAAGTGTGTTTTTCTTTAAAAGTATCTATTTTCTTTTTCTTTTCAGAAAAAGAGAAATGCAGAAAATGAAATGATGTTAAAAGACTCAACATTAAATTTGACTTAATTTTCGCATGTCTTTTATGATAATTGCTTAAAGTGCAATAAAGATCAAGAAAAGTGAGGTGAAGAATATCAAGATATGTACATGTACTTCAAAATGTAGACCAATTATTCAACAGATGAAAAGAGAAGTCTTGGAAGAAATTTTGACAAATGCTTGGATTGAATGTTTTAATCTTTGTTTCACATATGTTTACGATTTGTGAAAATAAATGTTCAAAACGTATATTTTACACGTGGTTTGACACAGGTATGGTACACATATATTTAGCATATGAGCAGTGCATTTAACGAACACATTATACACATGTATCGAGAAAAAACGTAGTTCATACGTGAATCATATGAATAACGTACGTGTTTAACGGATGTGTAACGTATGGTAGTAATCACGTTTGTTAAAAATATGTGTCACGCATGACATTCATACGTATGAAACGTACCTTTAACGTACGTGGTACCTAAATCACATTTAACGTAGATGTGGCCACATACGTTTCACATATGTGAAACGTACGTGGCACATTTTGCTGTGTTCATGCTTTTCATTCAATAACAGTTTCGAAGATTTCAACAAGATCAACAATTAAGACAACCTTGGCAACAACTACAATTCCATTATCAAAGATATCAATGACTCAGGAGACAAAAACGACAGCAACAAAACCAACAAAAATATCATTTCCTCAAAAAGCTAAAACTAGAAATAAACCAACAATTCCAAAATTACTTTCAACGAGAACACCTTTAACAACAGAAGTTACAACAAAAAGAACAATAAAAACCAATTTCCCGAATCGGACAACTACTCAACAAACAACATCCAAAAATATTTTGAGTAAATTTTTAAGTTCTGCACCAGGAACTTTGAACAGTCCTTTGCCACCACTGTCTTCAACAGCAGAGATTGTCAAAACCTCGAAAACGACACATGTTGTTATAACTACTGGTAAGAAAGAGGCAGAAAGGGCACAAAAACTCTGAAAAAAAATATAATTTCATAATCTTAATTTGATCAAATGCATTAAATGATATGTATAATCTATCTTTTTTTCTAATGAAATTCACTGAACTGACGTAAATTGCCGAATAATAGAGATTGAGTATGAAATTGAAGTAAACATTTATGCTATAAATTTTTAGGTCATTTGAGTCTTTAAAGTGACCTATTTCTTTCTTCTGTTTTCGTCCGTCGCTGTGCGTCATACGTTAACATTTAACATTTTCAGCTTCTCTGTAATCGCTGAACCAATTCAACCAATTTTTGCATACAACATCTATGCAGGTGAGGGGGAACAAAAATTGTGAATTTCATGGTCCCTGTCCCCTTGGGGCCTGAGGGTTTGGGCAAAAACCATCAAATTTCATGCAAGCTTTAAAAATGTTCTGTACTCCTGGACATCAAGCAGTCAAACTGTTGTCATGATTGTAATAAGCATTGATTCCTCTACCAAATTGTGAAATTCATCGCCCAAAGGTTAGGAGTTTTGGTGCAAAGGTCGGGCTATATAGATCAGTGAAAGAGCATGATTTCTTGTTTGAAAATCTTCTTCTTCGCTTCTGGGTATTAATTAAACTAACTAGATACATCTGTAATAGTTATGATGAGCAAGGGTGCCTTTTCCAAGATTGTGAAATTCATGACCCCCTGGTCAGGAGGTTCTGGTGTTAGGGCGGGGCTCTATGGATTATATAGTTAAAATGCATTTCTTGCTTGAAAATCTTCTTCTCTGGTCCTGGGTACTAAACAAACATAGCTATGATGAGGAAGGGCGCCTCTTCATAGCCCCTGGGTCAAGGGTTCTGGTGTTAGGGCGGGGCTCTATTGATTATTTAGTGAAAGTGCATTAATTGTTCGAAAATCTTCTCTTCTGGTTATTATTTTAACAAACCAAGTGCAAGGTTATGATAAGCAAGAAAGTCTCTCTTCCAGAATTGCAAAATTCATGGCCCAAGGTATAGGGTGCTGGTGAAAGGGGGTTGGACTCTATTGATTAGTTGGATCGAGGTCTCTGTTGATGGACTGTTAGTCCCCGAGGGGTCTCTACAACCCAGCAGCTAAGTACTTCATTACTAGCTTGAAAATACGGATATATATTTAATCGATGTTGTAAAATTTAGAAATTTACTTCAAAATTATCTCCCTCATGCATAGCTCTGATCCTTCAAAGTATTTTGCTCCAGTCTTTAGCACCTTTTTCAGCTCTTTAAAGTGTTTTTATTTAAAATTTTGAATTTCCAACGTTACGGCATTACTGAAGAGACACGATTTGTCGAAATGCGCATCTAGTGCATCAAAATTTGTACCGTATATAGTTTACATTTAGTGAAATGCATTAATTCTTTAAAAATTTTCTTCTCTGCTCCTGGGCATTAAACAAACTAACTAGATATATAGTTAAGACAAGCAAGGGTGTTTCTTCGAAAATTGAAATTCATGACCCCTGGGTCAGGGGTTCTGGAATTAGGACGGGGCTGTAATGATTACATGTACAGGAGAAAGGAAGAAACCAGGCGTGAGCCCTATCTAGTGATTAGGTATACAGGGTACTCCGTAGTCAAATTTAGTAAAAAAGCAATGTACTAACAAATGGTATAGAACACGTCAGATACAATACGACCCAACGATTGGTTAAATTTACAAACAAGGTCATTATAACACCCTAAGAATTTGCTGGCTTTAAATAAAGCTGACTTTAAAGGAGGTCGTTGAAAGTAATTTAACATCAACTAATTTGTCAGTAGCTTGTCTCGTTTTACAAATTGATTGTAGTCAGAGCATGCCCTTGCATATAGAAGAAAGGAATTTTACGATGAAAAACTGAAGTCAACCCATTTGTCATACAGTTTAGGTAGTAGTTTGTAATCAGCGTCTATGTCAGTAAAACATCCGAATATGAAAAAGTCTTTTCTTTAGAATTGACTAGGAACTATCGCGTTAACAATGTAAATCTGAGTGTTACAAAATCAGTTAAATGGTTTGTTAATATCTGGCCTATGTAAAGTTTACACTGAGTTCCTTGATACTATCAAAATTTGATAATCTCAGACATCAAGTACTACAATTGGATTGGTGTCTACTTAACAAGTAAGATTAATGCACTATGTGGTAAGTTGACAAATCAGCCTTAACATCACTCTGAAACTCCTTATATTTATATATTTTAATGAAAAAAATTAAGTACCATGATTTTACTTTGGGATTACCAGAGTACTCTTTATTTCATTGTTTTTACGTTTTGTAGACTTACAACATATGATAACTTCAGAAATACAAAATTCATCAAGTACAAAGTTGATTGCTGGAACCACACCGATGCCTAATGGGCCTATTTTCAGTCGCAAAATGGGTTTGAAAATAACAATTCATAACTATAATTCATTTTTATTTGTTTTTAGATTTATTGTTTTGTTAAAATGCCTACCTAATTTTTTTTTAAATTTCGTTTTGTGTTTCATTTGTAAGGTTTTTGATGTTTCTGTATATTATTTTAAATATTCTTATAATGATCCGATTTATGTAAGAATATAATCAGTTTTATTATTTTTTATTGGTAACCTTTTTGATATTGTTCAAATAAATCTATGTAAGAATAGTTATATTTCTTGCCTTGTACATTTAGTGATTCTGATGGTAGGAGTGGTAGTAGTAGAAGTGACTATTATAATTGTGGGTATCCTAGTGGTCAGACGATGCAGACAACAACGGTAAGTAAAATATCAAAATCAATAAGATTTCTTTCATATTATAGCAACTATTGTGTCAATGTAAGAATAAAAGAAAATATAGTATTCGACAATGAAAACTGGAGGATGTCTATATTTTTACGATGGTTGTTCGGAAAGTTCGTGGACTACGTCATTCTTCTTTATACTATCTTCAAGAAATTTAAAACGAGCACATTTTCATACGTAAAATGTTTATTTTGTTTAAGTGTGAAGTTTCATTCCATCTGATTTAATAGAATTCATGTTATTTAATTTTAAAATAAACACGTTTTGTAATCACGGCGCAAACTCAAGAACACTGTAACGTCAAAAACATACCAACTTGAGGTTCTCAAAAATACTATCCCTATACATTTCACACAGTATTGGCAAATACCAGTGCACTCATTAAAACGTTTCTCTATCACTTGAAATCTATTTTGCTAACAATTGTTTTAGTAGCATCATTTTGTTTGTCAATGTTATATATTTTTTTCACTGCATAAGTTTGCTTTTACAAGTTAAGCATCTGTGAAGTGTTGAACTCTTAGCATGACGTTACGAACTTTTCAATGTTTTTGATAAGATTTTACAGATAATCCGCCTTTCTCACAAATCACCATCGTCTATGCAGAGTAGTCTGTCATTCAAATACCTCTTGTACCACGTACACAGACATGCATGGCTCCCTTTTGACATATTTCCTACTTCCTCCGGCATTTTCAGTTTTTTTTGAAGTTTTTTCGAGTACAACACAAAATTGTTTGGTTAACTGCTGCTCCGTGACGTTCTACGACGTCATCTTTTTTCCCTTTTTCAATGAGGACTACCTATCTTTAGAAACTGATTTCTTTTCAACGAAGCAAAATATTAAGTCATAATTTGGAATCAGAAAAGATGAAACAATTCTCAATTGAACGTGTAGAATTTGTCCGTTTTTATGTCATTTTACAGACGATATGACTTCAGACATTATTTAGTGTCTTGATTGTAAATTACAAAACTTTGAAGTGCTCCGTGATCCGATTTTCGCATTTTTAGTCTAAATAAGTTTGATATAAACCACGATATTTTGAAAATTTTTAATACACATCATTTGAATTTACTGTTGAAATATTTCCTCCAAATTTGGATATAATATATATATAAGTAAAAAAGTTATGACGGTAGTCCACGAACTTTCCGAACAACCCTTGTACAACAAAAACTTTAAAATAATTTTGTTTTGTTCCTATAGAAACAACACAAGACCCAATAAAGCAAATGACCGCCGAGCTGTCTCTAATGTATATGCCACTTCTCCTGATGAGGCATGTGATGAGAATCAATATAAGGATGTCTCTGAAGGGGTTTATGATACAACTTTAAAACGACGATCTCATGTCAACTGTAGCTCAAATGAATATTCCACAGGAAGTTTCTATTCTCGTATGTTTCGAGGTTCAAACAATGACAGAAGAAGACCAATAGAAGAAAATCTACCAATGTCTTGAATATGAAGAGATTAAAAACGGAAATAAATTACTTTTACCTAAGACAAACAAAGGTTTACTGTGTGATCTTTTGTGGTCGGATCCTGACAAAATGGCTGAACGATGTTATTGTGTGTTCATGTTTAACAATGTTTTCTTTTATTGTTGAATGTTTTTTTTTTAAATCTTACCCTAAATGAAATATTCTTGGCTCATTCCTACCGTCTGTAGTTTTGGCGATAAAGATATTTAGGAGAAATTTTATGTCAAACTAATGTTATCGAAAATAAATTCATTTTATGTTATTTGTATTTTTTCCCTGTAAACTGAAAAAGCTCTGTGAGGGAATGGTAAAAGTCGTGAGAACCCTCGCGCAAATCTTAGAATCCGGAGGCCGAATGCCTATAAATCATATCAATATAAACAGAGATCTTCGAGAATTGCTTTTATTTGGAATTGAGAAACTTAATTGCTAGCATAGGACTGCCGTGTCAGATGTTTTACATAAATTAATTTAAGGATGTAAATTAAATATTTATTTTATATGAGTTTTTCATATAAATTTGGATTTTATTTTATCCCTATACCATGGAAAATTTTTTTATTGTTTATATATATATATATATATATATATATATATATATATATATATATATATATATATATATATATATATATATATATATATATATATATATATATATATATATATATCCTGCAACTACCCCTTGCATTGACCTAATAAAGGTAACCTAATAAACCAAAGCTTTATTCGGTCAATGCCCTAATAAAGCCTCGTGGATGTATTCTGACGTTCTAAAAGCATTGTGACGTCATGAATATTCCAATGTTTACGCCATGGCGTCTTAGATTCAACTGCAGAGATGTACCTAAATCGATTGAAAATAGCTCGTTTTGAAGGTCATGTAAAAATATGTTGCAGGATAAACAAAATACATCGATACTGTCTTGAAATATAAGCGATATTTGGGCTCGGATCGAAAACGTGATAGAGGGCTCGGCAAGCCTCGCCCTTTATCACGTTTTCTTTCCCTCGCCCAAATATCGCTTATATTTCAAGACAGTAACCATGTTTTATATATATATATATATATATATATATATATATATATATATATATATATATATATATATATATATATATATATATATATATATATATATATATATATATATATATATATATATATATATATATATATACACACACACATATATAGTATAAATCCACACACGTAGTCGTACATAAAAAAAAAAAAAATCACAACACCGAAATAAACTCTACCGGTTTCATTTTCAATCTTCAGGAGTTTGACAACATTTTGCGTAGTTACACATAAATACAAAGTCAACATTCTTACTGTGACGTTAAAAAGTGCTAATGTTAATTTACGCATTAGCAAAGTTAATTATGACGTCATGACATAACGTAAGAAATTTGATACGGGAAATTAAAATTTTGCATACAAATAATACAGATATGAATTGCGGGAAAAAGTTTATATCTGATACAAAATATAATTATGTAGCATTTAAAACAGGTTTATATCTGTTAATAAAAAGTTTTTCTTTCGTTTCACGTTCTTTTTCTGTGGTATCCCTTCGAAACTTGTAAAAGGGAAAAACGGTAAAATTTGGACTTTTATTCTTGGCATAGTTTCTAATATGGTCACTGACGGGGGTACACTGGTATTTTGGTTCCCTAATTTGCTGTCGGTGTACGGTCATTCTGTGTTTAAAGTATGTAATATTTTCTTCATGTCTGGGTCATCTTCTAAGATAGGCAGGTTATTTCTTATTATGTTGAAAATTTCCGGATTTCTTGGATTGTGCGTTGAAACGTATGGTATGACATTATCAACGGTTTTAAACCATACCATACGTTTCAACGCACAATCCAAGAAATCCGGAAATTTTCAACATAATAAGAAATAGCCTGCCTATCTTAGAAGATGACCCAGACATGAAGAAAATATTACATACTTCACAGATTATCGAAAGCAAGCGACAAAGCCCTTCTCTTAAATCTATCCTTACCAGAGCATCTTTTTCCAGTAACAACCATGAACAAGCCATCATCAATAAATGCAACAATTCCAGATGTAGTACATGCCCATACCTGACAGAAGGATCTACATTTCATTTCAAAACCGGAAGTAAATTTAATATTAAAACCTCCATGTCGTGCACTAGTTCCAATCTTATTTATGTGATAAACTGCGCCGGTTGCGGTGAAAATTATATCGGTCAGACAGGAGACACCATAAGACACAGAATGACCGTACACCGACAGCAAATTAGGGAACCAAAATACCAGTGTACCCCCGTCAGTGACCATATTAGAAACTGTGCCAAGAATAAAAGTCCAAATTTTACCGTTTTTCCCTTTTACAAGTTTCGAAGGGATACCACAGAAAAAGAACGTGAAACGAAAGAAAAACTTTTTATTAACAGATATAAACCTGTTTTAAATGCTACATAATTATATTTTATATTAGATATAAACTTTTTCCCGCAATTCATATCTGTATTATTTGTATATAATTTAATTTTGTTTGTATTCTAGCCTCTGATTGGTTAATATCCAAAAAGGAACACAAATTATTTCTGTATAACCTGGTTTGGTATGGGGACACACCCCCCTGACAACCAGCTGAATCGTCTTTATCCATGCAATCCTCTCATTTCCAGTCCTCGGGATTCATGGAAAATTCCAGATTTAATAAACGTACCTTTAACTTCAAACAGTAACTTGGATCTTACCACATGTAAACAAACAACATGGCTGCTAGGACTAAGTATCAGTTTTTACCTCCCCTCGCTTCCCATCACTTCCGTTACTACGGTTGTATTATTGAGCGGCAAATTTGAACTAATAAAAAGCAACGAAATTTTACACCGACAGTTGTTTAATGATTTAGAATTAAATTATAAGGAATGACTCTAATTCTTGGCCAAATTATTCGAGTATAACCTGGTTTGGGTCAGTTTACGCTGTTTTATAATCCGCTTCGCGGATTATAAAGCGTAAACTGACCCAAACCAGGTTATACTCGAATAATTTGGCCAAGAATTAGAGTCATTCCTAAAATATTGACATTTGCAAATGTTTTCTTTTATATAACACTATTAAATGCAACGCGTATCTATATCCGTATAAACACGGGTTCCTCGCGTCATAAACGTTCGACGTAATTTGTCAGTGACGTCATAAAGGGTCGACGCGCAATCAGAGGATCAAACACGTGCCGTTGGGTTTGAAAAATAAAACGTTTCACGCGTTGAAGATTATAATCAGGCAAATATAAACTATGAATAAGTCACAAATGTAAATATAAGTAATAAGGTATCATTTTAAAACATCTATTGGACTATAAAAACGGGTTGGTACGAGATCAAATTTACCATAAAGCCCTTCAGGCTTTATGGAATTTGATCTCGTGATCAACCCGTATTTATATCCCGATAGATGTTTAAAAATGATACCTTATTTCTTATATATATATATATATATATATATATATATATATATATATATATATATATATATATATATATATATATATATATATATATATATATATATATATATATATATATATATATATATATATATATATATTTCTAAGGGTAGAGTCTATAACATAACCGAGTCATGGATTCCGGGAAAATTATTTCCAAATATGGCTTTTTCCAATATAAAACATGTTCGTTCCCGATGCAATATACATTTGTAAACATTATCATTATGATTATGTGTGGCATCTATTGATCTAGTACGAACAACAAAACTATAATTGAAGATTGAATATTCAGGCAAATGGTCGGTTTTCATAACGATTGTTATATTTAGTACTTATAACTTACATATAAAACAGCAGATTACGTTTTATAGCCCAGTAATAATAATAGCCTAGTTTGTATATTGTACGAAATAGATTTCATTTTAAAAATTTATTTGGTTGTTAATCATCCTTTGGCAGATCCGATAAGGCATGCGGGATATAAAATATTCCGCCATAAAGGAAGCATATGAAAATTTTATTGAACAAATGAGAAAATCTGAACTGCACTTGACCAGCAGGTTTACAAGAAGTAATGTTTTAATTTGACACTTGTTTTTGAAAACAGTAAACGGGTCACTGAACATTTCCTGATAATGATGGCATACGCTAGTCTCTGAACAACACAATTCAATCACAGAACAACATAATCCAGTCACAGAGCAATATAATCCAGTCAGAGACGAACATAAACCCAGTGACAGAACAACATAACCCAGTCACAGAGAAACATAACCAAGTCACAGAAAAACATAACCCGGTCACAGAAAAACATAACCCAGTCACAGAGAAACATAAACTAGTACCTGAACAAAATATCCCTGTCAAAGAGAAACAGGGCACAGCCAGAGACAAACATAACCCAGTCACAGAACAACATAACCCAGTCACAGAGAAACATAGCCAAGTCATAAAACAACACAACTCAGTCACAGAATAGCATAATCCAGTCACAGAGAAACATATAGGTCACAGAACAACATAATCCAGTCAGAGGCGAACATAAACCCAGTCACAGAACAACATAATCTGGCCAGTCACAAAACAACATGACCCAGTCTCAGAACAGCATAACCAAGTCACAGAATAGCATAACCCAGTCACAGAGAAACATAACCCAGTCACAGAGAAACAAAACCTAGTCCCTGAACAACATAACCCAGTCACAGAGAAACATAACCTAGTCCCTGACCACCATAACCGAGTCACAGAACAACATAAACCCAGTCACAGAACAACATAAACCCAGTCACAGAACAACATAAACCCAGTCACAGAACAACATAACCCAGTCACAGAACAACATAACCCAGTCAAAGAATAGCATAATCCAGTCACAGAGAAACATAACCCAGTCACAAAGAAAAATAACCCAGTCACAGAGAAAGATAACTTAGTTCCTGAACAACATAACCCAGTCACAGAGAAACATAACCTAGTCCCTGAACAACATAACCCAGTCACAGAACAACATAACCCAGTCATAGAACAAGAGGCCAAAGGGCCTTAACGGTCACCTGAGTACAACAATTTAGAGGATCCAAAAACTGATAAAGAAGCTTTGTTGCCCAATAGCAAGAAAAATAGTACGATTAAGAACAACAAAATAATTGGTCTAGTATATTTCTATCTGTCCCCCATTTATCACTATTACCATGCAGACTTTTTATCAAAATGTCTACATGTATATTATTACCTCTCACATTGGCCTCACTTGGCC